GGGACACCACTGTAAGCAGAAGTTTGAGAATCGCTGGTGTAAAGTCAGCGTAAGCCCAGCTAGAATGCACATCCTATGTTGTGTTGGCTTTAAAACCTGGGAGAAAGGATGGAAAGTATCCTGTACACAAACACATTACCTGGGGATAAACGTAGCTTCTTTAACTAAAATTTTCTTTAAAAATGTCAACTGGCATTCAATACATATGTCAACCAAAAAGGGGTAGAGAGATTACCATGGCAATCCAGCTAGGTTTAAACTGCACTTTAAATGAGAGGGCAGTTATTACAGGACAAGCTCTTCCCTGAACTGCATTGAAAACAGAGTTGTTGTATGAGGGACACATCAGATCAAGTCTTTATATTGCTACTGCTCAAGGGGAATAAACAAAGGAGATAAACAAAACTCAGAAACTTTGTTCTATATTCTGCTAACTGCTATATAGAGAGACTTCCTTGGAATCAAATCTTCTTGCTCACCTGAGTACAAAACACAGGTAGCACCATCTCTACAGTTGATTGAATGTTGGTCCTTTTCTATGAAGTAAAATAGTTACTCTGAAAAAATACTTGAAAACTTCAATAACATTCTTTCTCTCTCCATTTCCCAGGTATCCCACACAACCCTGTCGTTTTGGGAAACTTTTATTGCTTTTACCAGCTTTACGTTCAATTAGTCCATCTACAATAGAAGAAGTGTTTTTCAAAAAGACCATTGGGAATGTACCAATTACAAGACTGCTTTCAGATATGTACAAATCCAGTGACATATAAATTACCTTAAAATAAACAATCAGGATGGACAGTTTGAGAAGAACTTTTATCTATGGAGAATAAGCCTCAACTAACAAAATCTACAGGAAGCATAAGCCTGGGAATGTTTAGCCCTTAAACTCATTGACAAAAAACACCCCAGTAGATATGATTCTGCTGCTCTGAACAGAGTGATTTAGATCATGGAGAGAATGCTTTGTTCTACAGAAAAAGTGAAAGTGGTTGGAATTTGGCTGCTATTCCTGTTACTACAGGATGGAGGCAATTCAGATGCCAGTCATAGTTAACAAAGACTCTGCTATTCTCTCATTTAACTGGCAGATCTGAGACAAAATGTGAAAGAAGGTACTTTAGTTTGTTCAGTATTTGGAACTGAGTGACCAAACTTGGCTTCTGTTGTAACACAAGATGCGGTGGCCTTCAGAATTGTTTTAAAAGTAGCCTATGTTGGGAAAATGTTTTTAATACGATAGGCAACATTTAAGACCAGGTTACCAAAACATTGCTTCTGCTATAATACATCATGAAGTGGCCTTCAGAACTGATTAAAAAGTAGCTTACGATGGCAGCTCCATTCTTCCTACAAAATGAACTGGTGATCTTTGACGCGGATGTCACAATTTGTTTGGCTAACATCTCAAAGACACAAGAGCTTTATACACATCCTCCCCGAACTTCCCTCCTTCTTCTTCCACACACACAGACATACATTCACACACACACACACACACACACACACACAAACACCTGAAGAGATACAAGTCAAGAAAGGAAGACTAAAACAGCAAAACCAAATACAATGGAGATGACCGCTTCAGTGACCTGCTGGCTGTCCCGTTGGCACAGTGCTGAAACCAAAGGCAACGGTGGCCAAACTCTTTGTCGATGAGATGTGTGGAGAAATGAAATGACTATAAAAAAAAAATCAATGGAAGGAATTTTATTTCAAAGAAATAAAGGTTGTTGACTGATACAATGCTAACAATTTCCAAAAGTCTCCAATGCCTTTTTAGAATACTCCAGGTTCTAATTTCGAAGCCTTGTTCACCTATACCCTCTCACACACAAAAACGTTATAAGCTGCTTATCTGATGTATGAAAAATGTAGGAAAAAAAACATTTAAAGATAGCTGCTGTACTTTTCAAAATTTGTTATTAGGAACTAGCACTGAGAAAGATCAGCACTTGGACTATCATAGAATGAGTAAAACTTTTCCTGTACAAAGTGGATTAACCGATTTGTGAAGTTAAAAAGTTGTACTCATTGTATTTACAAAGAATAAAAATATATTGAATTTAAATTACTTTCCAGTGTTCTTTTAATGCTAGTTCTTAATTAGCTTCTTCCACTGTATCCCACTTAGCAGGGAATAGAACTATTCTCTACTAAAATGGATTGCCTAAGATGCTGTGGACTCTCCATCAACAGAGGTTTGAAAAACAGGTTAGACAAACATCAAAGGAGTAGCTTAGGTGATCCTGACTTTTGAGATTCTGCATTGAACTATTCCCTGTAATCCAAATATACACTGGCTGCAATATTCCCTTCTCAAGGAGGTGACATATTCTTTTGCTAGGACACAACTAAGTGCATTGGAGATCTAATCCAGTATGTGCTTTCTGTTTCATGTTATTACAATTTTTAATATTCGCGAATTGCGCAGCTAACAAAGGATGATGAGTACAAAAGCACTGCTTCAATTAAAAAGATTGAGGTTTTATTAAGGTGCCCAATCGTGTAATCACACCAAAGAAAGAGGTAAGTAACTCCCAGTCAACAGAAAAGGTTGGCAGTAGAAGGGAAATATATTGTTCATATGGCAATGAGTGACTGAAGTCATGCATGCTAAAATGATGGGTAGAAATACATTGATGGCTCACTGATTTGCACTGTCAAGGAATATAGGTCATGAGTGCAATCCTAGCTCTGCTGACTTTCAAGCTCAAAATTCTCATATGTTTCAGTGGTCAAAGTTTTCATCCCAGCTCTCTTCCATTTGCACTCTGCTAGGTCTCACATTCTATCCTTTCCAAGACAACTGGACCAAGTACACAAGACAAGTCTTTGGATAAGTCCAGTGAGACAAGGCACAGACTACAGGACCTCAAGACATCTTCTATACAAACTAGCATGGAGCACTTGAGAATGTATTTACCACAGGGCACAGTACTTTCCTAGAAAGAAATCAACAAACACTTTATAAGTCATTTTTCCTGCACCTGTAATAGCTTTAAAACATTTTCTGCTCTCTATGATAAAAATAACCAGATAGGGTAGAAAAATCAACTGTAGTTCTCTACTCTGTGACAATTCAGTTTATGAGTTATAGAAGTTGAACTCAGTGGTGCACAGAACCCATCACAGAACATTAATTCCAATAAGATTCATGCTGCTGTCCCAGAGCAGCAATAAACGTGAACTGCAGTCCTGCTGCAAGGCAACGAGGCAACTGCGCTCTGCAGCGTGCTGTAGTCCCTACATCACCCAAGCTAGAGGACAAAATAGAGTGTACTGGTTCTCTTCCAGCTGCAAAACAGGCAGGACAATGGGAACAGACCCATATCTCACCCTCTTACCTGCAGAACTTAGCCCAGCTGCAGGGCAGACTCATGAGCTGGGAACGATGCCCAGATCCCCGTGGTTTAGGCACAGCTAATCTCAGACTATGTCTTGTTCCCACTACAGCAGATTGCACAGAAGCAGAACCAGTACACTACACTAGAATTAGGGTCTCTAGTTAGCTTTGAAGGACTTAAGGCCATGTAAGATCCCAGAGTCCTGCAATTCTCAGAAGCTAACGCCCCAAAGTCCTCACTTTGGAAATAAGAATACTTTGACATCAAGCATGCAGTTTTTCCCTCTTTGGCTTATTTTTTTTTCTTTTCATGGCAAATGATACAGACTGTGTTATCATATTTTAGGTATAAGATGGGGCATGTATCTTGATTTCTGAGAGAAGCACCCCTCAGAAAAGAATGTTTGAGAAGAGAAAAAGAATACCTTACTCTGTATATAAACCTACATAATGAAACTTCATATACATTTAACTCCTTTCCCCTTTTTCAAGAGTAATTCAACTTTTAAGTGCGATTCAAGAAGCACAGGGAATTTTAGAAATCATTTTACATTATCACAAACATCTTGAAAAGCTGGACATCCCTGGGCTGCAAGTGGACTCTGTCAGTTCTGGTCCCTGGTTTAATGAATAGGGCCATTAGAGAGAATCAGCACAGTCTTAGTTAAGAATAAGGTGGAAAGAGTAATTATTCAAACACCTATCTATTCAGTGTAGCTAATCACCAGTACTATACGTCATCCAGTCGGCCACCACTGCTTTGTCAGTTAAGTCTTTGACATTCAGATTTCCAAAAATGAGGTTAGTGGCCTCAGTAAAAAGAGGCTAATAACTTCTGTCAGCAAGTTTGTGGGATGCTCTGGACAGTGATAAGTATTGTAAGAAGGAAAAAAGCAGCAGAGCTGAGTCTAAGTCAACATGTAGCTACCAAGCAGCACAAAACACTAGAGCAGATTGCTTCTAGAATATTCTTGAATCCATTTTCAAGAGCATCTGAACAGGTCAATTCTGTGTCACATGTGGAAGACTAAGAAAGCTTCTCTAGCTCACTTCTTTCTCATGAGAAAGACAACCTCAGAAGTGCTGCTTGTGAACTGCAGTTCAGCCACTGACTATCTGCACTGCATCAGTGGTCACACAAGCACAGTGCTACAGCTTACCCCTCCTTTTGGAAGTGGGCTATGATCACATCTTACAGCCGACTTGGGGGATTTCATGTCCCTAACTGTAATTGTAGAGCAGAGCTACTTTAATCTAGGAATGAAGTTATGTCAACATTCCTTTCTCAATAGGATGGTATAGTTTTCACCAGCTAGTTGAAGCTAGACTGATGCTTCTCATGCCAAGTAGAAAGGTACTCTTTCCCCAGAGTTATTAAAGTCACAGATCTGTTGACTGCCTACCATGAATGGTATTCCAGTTTTGGCTCCACACCACAGGAACAGCCTTCAATACCTTTATATGTTCTTTAACACTTGCAGAGGGAGTGCCACCATCTCAGGGTTCTTAGTGCTGGCTGTTAGTAATACAAAACTACATTGTGGAAGAGCATCACAGCAAGGCTGCAACACCAGTTCACTCCATACAGTAAAATCCCTGCTTCTCAGAAAGCATGAGATACCCCACGCTCAAGGTCAAGAGTGACAAAACATTTGAAGTGCATTTTCATTTTTATTTCAAAACTTTAGACAAGTTACTTTAGTATATAAATTTGATTTTTTCCTTTTACAGAATATAAAGATACTTCCCTCATTACTTCAGTATAAAGTGTTTTACAAGCTTGAAGACAATTGCATAAGTGTTTCTCACACAGGATATCAGAAATAAAGCAGTCTTTCTACAGACATTCAGACAGGTGACTACCTCAGAAACAGCATAGCAGTTCAGTCAAATACAAGTGAACACGTGACACTACAATTGTGAAAGTTCAAGTAAGGCCAAGTCAGTAAACATTGTTAAGTCATTGCAAATAATAGTGGAAAGGTTTGTGAGACTTTGCAAGGGGTGAACGGTCTCACAGTATAATACTTTTAAATGAAGGATTCAGAGGGATTTAGCTAGAAGACAAGTGAGTTCTTAAATGCTATAAAGCATATGCAAAGACCAAGCAGTGTACTGGTGTTAGTGGAGACTTCGTGCCTGTTCATCCTCAGCATGCTAAGACAAACTATAACCTTTAAAACCAAGCCTAAGAACCACTAATGTTTAAGAAGACAGTTTTAGAATTCAAGTATGTCTTATTTTGGATGGTGTGTAGTTTTTGTCTATTACTTCATCTTGTAAGAACATGTGAAGACAGCGCTCGTTCTGTGCCAGTGGGTGGCCTGCAACCCTGGAGAGGAAAAAGACAAGCATTAGTGTGAACCAATCGAGCCTACTTGCAGCTAGCCAGTAGACTGAGGTTTTGTACCACTAACCTATTGTTCTGCATTTAGGCATGAATCCCACTTTCAGTTCACTGCTGGCAACTAGAATGATGTCCAGCAGTAAGATTTGTCATGCTCCCCCAGATGAAGTTAGTCCATAGGAACTCTCAGCTACCTCTGATCATTTGGAAGCATGTTATGTCATCATCTATCACCTGCAACTGATGGGACTATCCAAGAGCCATTCCAACATTAGGAAATCTAGAGTTAAGGAAGGCAAATGGATTTTTTTTTTACAGGTCTTGACACCTGTGCCACAGGACCCCTTTCTAAAGGCTGCTTATCTGCTCAGTCCTCATCTCACTGAGCAGCAGTCTGCCCCGGCAGAGCTGAAGCCTTGCTCCACCAGGGGGTGCGAAGGCCTTCCAAAGGCTCCAGCACTGCTCCGGGCAGTGACTCCCCTTGGTCAGTGCTCCTCTACCATGGGAAGTCAGAGGGTTCTGTTCATTGCTCATATCTTAGCTATCAAACACAGGAGACAGACCTTGTCTGCTCTAGGAGAGACCAGTATCTCTACTGTAGGTTTAGTTTTGTTTCACACATAAACTGAGACACCATCCTTTTAACAGGAAAGTGGCTGAAATTGAATTAGGAGACACTACCAAACTTGGAAGAAAACCACAAGATATTGCATTCAAACCCTTAAAATACCATGCAGACTCTTGTGCTGGTAAAAATCCAAGGGAACCAGATACCCGAAAGCTGACCACTTATGAACATAAAAACGTAAAGCAGTTTGGTTTAAAAAAGCTACATCCAGTTTGGTCAATCAAGACAGACTTTTGCCTTTAAGACAAAAAGCCCCCCATCCTCCCTAGGGCAGCTTGTGTCAGCCTTATGGCCTCCATATCTGTCAAAACATTTCTACTCTTAAAGGAGGTGATCTAATTGAACACATGTAATACACAGTAAGCTCCAGTGGTTCACCACCAGTACTTCCACGAACCTTTGTGCATTTTCTCCAAATTTATCTATCACTGTTTATTTCACCACAGGACATATTCACTTATCATTGAGGGTGACCTGTAATGAGGAAGCTAAGCTCTCCTATTCAGTATTGATGATTATTTCAAGTGCAGTTATAACACTTATCAATCTTGTTGGTTCTAGTAAATGGCCAGCAGTCTTAAGCACAAGTTCACAAGAATGATAGTCTAGAATAATTAGCCTGAGTTTCTTATCCTCATCAGACTGACACTGATGGCCTTGAACTTCAAGGGAAAGATATATAGGAGAAGATGATGGGGAAGTAGCATATTCCTTCTCCTTTTCAGGAAGGCTTGGAAATTGGTGGCTGAATTGCAAGATTAGATCTGATCCCAGATTCAACTGGAATAGCTTGCTCTGCGTTGGCTTTCCCTCAATATTTTTCACAAAGGTGACCCTTACAAATAGCAACTGCTACTTCAAGAATTTTCATGTATCTCAAAGTCAGGTTCAGGCAGACAAGAATGCTGAGACGCAGCCATCCCTTGAATGTCATTGTATGTAGTACTGATGGTGGTGCCAGCAAGCTGGCCCAAGACAGTTGAATCAAATAAGGTGCACTGTCTTGATTTAGATTTTACATCTAGAGAGGCAAAGCTTCTCAATAACATCCATCTCAACACTCCTGGATATCAAGAACTGGCATTGGTGCACTAAGACTTTTTTTGTTATGATGATATAATTTATCTGAGGGACTCTAGCTCTAGAAGGAAAGACCAGCATGGAGAATGCAATAATGTGAATGTACTACGCAAATGACCTTCAGGTGTAATTCACTAATACTCAGAATACTTGGTAGAAGCCTTAAGGCTTCTGTGTTGTTCAAATCTTTAGTAATATTTGCTTAGCCAGTTGGTCCTGCTATTAGAATAAATCGATGAGCTGGAATAGTTATGAGTTGTGTCTGAAAAGTCCTATTCCAGCTGTACTCAAGTCTGCCACTACGTCAACAGCTACATTAATAATCTGCTTTTATATTTCAAAGGAGGAAAAATTAACCAAGAAGTTGTACACTTCCACACAATCAATTTATTACTTGCTGTAGGACTGAACAAGTGATGCCCACAAACCGACTACCTAATTTCTGTCAGCTATACTGAGTTTTTCAGAGTGTCGAGGTAAGATGACTGTTTCAGCTGCTTCAGAACACAAACAGCCCTCTTGCATATACATACATATTGCTAGACTCAGCATACAAAAGTTTGCACTTCTTCCCCATACAAGACAGAGTCCCAAGCCTGCATGGACAAAAGTTGCACTTTACAGTCATGACTGCCTTGATTTTACAGCACTAAAAAAACCAAACACATTCCATCTTGCTATTCGATGCCCTGGAAGTTCATTCCACTTGTCTTTAAACAGCACAAAGAGCAGTCTGAAGCATTTTACCTGCTCAGAATCATTAGCAATACCTCTAAATTGAGCTGACATGCAAGTATGTGAAGAAAAAACAGAGATTTCATATGGTCACACTTACTTGCACAAAACAGACAGTTTTAGTAAACTAGTCACTTGCAACTCCAAGACACTGAACTAACAGTAACTCACAAGTACATTCTCTTAAGTACTTGAGTAACTCACAGGCATCTTCTGTTAAACAGCCTAACTATCAAACAAGGTTAGAATGCTAGTGGAACTGACAAGCTTGAACTTTTAAAGGGAGCAGTCCCAAATCCAGTTGGTCTGAACAGCGTTGACTCTAGAGACCAGAAGAGTGGGTTAACTGACTGCACTCCTCCTTACCCACAGCTTGGATCCACATTGTAAAAGAGATTACACCAGCGACCCCGGTCCATGTACAGACAGCTGTTAGTAGTGCCAGATGGCAGAAACAGAATCATAATACTTTGCTACTATAATTTCTGCTCAACCTTCTGAAAGGCAGTGACAAAACCCAAAGTGTCTATTTCAAACTATGCATGCCTACCTAGAGCAGTGTTTTTACATCTTCAGAAAGATTCTCATGATGATTAGAGAAAATATGCATCATTACACAAGCTGATAATACCTCAACATCTGCTATCAAAGTAAACTGCTGTAAGCCCACTGTAAGCTCCATTGTTCACACAGTGGAGAATACCCTTTCAGAAATTATAAAGTAGGACTCTTTTGAATGTTATAATTTTAGTAGCAATTTGCATAAATTAACAACAGCACTAACAGTCATTTCAGTTGTTCAGGTAAGCATTAAGACATCCAAACTAAACACTGGATGAGCAATGTTAGTATGTCCTACTTCAAGATTATGTGAAAGTTAATATTCAGAACCTAGTGCAGTTACCTCCGTTAGAGGACTAATAGCTTTAACGCAATTTTCCAGAGCGGAGCTCTGGGTTTGTCTTGGATAACTAGACCTGATACTTACTTGTTTATGAATTGTTCAAGAGCCTGCTTCCTTTCCTCTATAAAGGAATCATCAAATATACCATCATCTCCTCGGAAGGGAAGCTGACGGAGAAGCGCTTTTCCTGGTAGAGGTGGTACCACAACCTGAAAGATTTACAGAAGTGTCCTTAAGTGCAGCCTATAAGCAAGTTCATACACCTGTTCCACCTCTTCATCCTAGAGGACCCAACTTGTCATTCACATTACGAGTGAAATAATAAAACATGAGCAGAGAAGACCAGTATCTGCCCACAGAGATAAGATGAATTCCAGTAGTTTAACTCTGAATTAACTCAAAACCATTAAAACAGCCTCTGGCATTGTAGAACTGAGGCTTGATAAAAAGACTGACACACTGGTTTATTACTGGACATTTTCAACCACAGTATCTGCTCCATATGATATATGCTTTACAACATGGTGATAATATTTCAGCATCATTACTCTTTGTATGAAGACTCGTATTTACCTCTCACTTTACTCACCTTGCTTTCTCTTTCTAATTCATTCCTTAGCCATTCAAAATCACTATATCTTCTTCTGACTGTAGATTCTTTCAATTTGAATATAGGTAGATTTGTCTGAAAACAAGAACACAAGCTGTTGATTAGACAGATTAGAAATTTTGATAACCAGAAGAACCAAGCTGTTAAGTTACACATTACTTCCATTTAGGCAACAACAACAGTATTGAGAAACACTCGACACACAGAAATATAAATAAAGCTCTAAGCTACATCAGTAAGCTGTACCTCAAACTGCGTAACTGTGAGCCTCATTTACATGGCATCATTATCACTGGTATTTTGTCATCTATCACCTAGCAGAATATCTGATTTGCTGGTCACTTGAGATAGTTCTAAGGTCGCATAAGCAACTCTTTCAGGAGCTGGATCCCCAATATGAACAAAATTGGAGGTGGGGAGGGAAGGGGGAAGAAAGTCTTCTTAATCCACACAGGCTTCTCTTATTGCATTGAAGGGAGTGTTTCAGATACCATTATAGGACATGAACCAAGCATCCTGTACTTTTCTACTCCCTGATAAATCATGACCTCCAACATCTTTAGAAGCAAAACCAGTAAGTCCTACAGTGAATCCATCTAGGACAGATGAAGATTTGATAGCACAAGCTGCCAAGTTTGGGTAGCTCCAAAGAAGCTAACAAGACCGAGATGCAATACCACATTCAGTGCTGAAGAGATCAGACTATCTGACTACAAAGTTAAACTAAGCAGACCATCATTACGGACATTAGGGAGAACTTTGCTGAACGAGGATAGGAGCCAGCACCCAAGTCTAACACCCTTGAAAGAGACATCAGATGGAGCAAGACTATAATGCTGCACAAGACCATGTTACGTATACAAGCACCCTGGTAAAAGTCCTTACACTAACTTGTGTGAGAGCCTGTATTACTTCTGTTCATTCTTGGGTGCAGTGTAATCCCACTGTTGTAATCCAACTTGCATGCTGTTTTCAAAGTAGACATTGGGAGAGTCCTCTCTTAATGACATCCTCAGAATGAAAAGTTCCAAAACCATATTCTGAAATTTAGTGTCATCAGTAAACTGGCTAGAACATTACAAAAATGTTCCTAGGAGTTATGACTTCCTAAAAGTAAGACCATAAGCCTGTAACTGCCATATACAACCAGAAGCAACAAAATAAAGCCTACTCTTGTCATACTGCATATTCTCTAATAGTCTTAGTCTGCCTTTAAGGAGTCTTGAGGAGTACCCTAGGAAGCTGATGTTCACATGGGACTACAGTTACGCCCCAGTCTTCCTGCTGACAGATGCACAGTAGTCATTCTCTGCTAGTACCTTGTACCTTTTACTTTTTGTTGTTTTATTTTTTTATCTCGTAAGCCATCTCACTCAGGATCTGGTCACAAGAGTGGATATCCCTACACAATAACTTTCATAGGATGTTATGCTTAAGCTATGACTGGGCAATAATTTTGGCTTCTCAAAACACGTTTAATTGCAGGTTTAATTCCTGCACTAGGCAAGCCTGGCACTATGGATTGTGGTATTGCTGCCAGCCAATAACAAGTTTCTGGCTGTCACAGTTCAAAAGTACTTGAGAAGTTGGTTGTGTACTTTCACATTATGCAAATTAGTCCAAAATTTACAAGTGATAAAGTATAGAACAGTACTTTGTTAGGTAATTTTATTGCTAAATGTTTTAAAGTATTCAAGCTCTCTTTCCCAGGTAAATTATTGTTGATTGGGCTAGAGACTACTAATAAAATTGCACTTAAGACTTATGTCAGAAGTCAGGACTTTAATAAATAAACACTCTTGTCTTGAGGGTAAAAATACTTTACTCAAGAGTGAATATAGGTCTCCCTGAGTACATGAAGGAGATTCCCTGGAGTGAAGTACTGGATTATTTTCCTCTGCTTTCAGCTATTGGCTTTTTAACCAAATTCACCCTTACACATTACATCAACTCTTTGCCAGTGTCTCAGGTAGAAAAAGTTCTTTACAATATTTAACAAATAGGTTCTCACCTGCAGAAAATACTCCTTTCTCCTCTCAAGTTACTTACAAGAGGGATTAGGACTGGATAAAAGCAACTAAAAAACAATGAGTTCCCAGGTCTTCAGGAACTCTTTTCATGCTTCTAGGCATGAAGTCTATAAAGTTAATCTCTAAACAACATATCAGGCTTACAGGTACAATGTGTTGGTAGAAGTGCCAATTGAGCTCACTTTACCTTCTACACTCCCTTTTGAACTTTTGACATGCTAGCCCAGTTAGCAAGTTGGAGGGAAGGACAGAGTCCTTTGTTTTCCTTTTGAGCTGAAAAATCTTCTCCAATCTTGATCATAAGCACTGGAAATGTTCACACTGAAAAGTATGTCAAAAGGCATCCATTAAATTAAGCGTCTTACAAGTGACATTTTGACAACTATATGCTAAAGTACCTGTTCCCTGTCCTCTGGTCTGGTTATGAGATAGAGCTATCTGTTGATATCAATTTCTAAACCTCATGTTTCTTAAACCCCAGAAACTACAGCAATTCTCCTTCCTCTAGAAATAAGTACTGATAGAGCAGTGTCTTTCAGGTAACCAGGTGTTAGGATCTATTTTAAAAAGCAATTTGAGAGTCCTGTTTTATACTGCTTAAGGCTATATTCATACCTGAAGTTACTCTATGGGCCTTTCTCACTAAGGATTATTGCCCTTCAGTAGGAAGGGTTTGTGCATGTACTACTGCCTCCATCTACCATGGAGATACAGTTTTCATTAAGCAAAGACAGCTCCTGAAGTATGGGCTATCAATGGACAAGAATTTGATAGAAGTAGACAATCCTGAAGTGTCAACAATAACCTAAAGTGTCACTTTAAGACCATGTGAGATATCAAAAATGTTATTATCTGCTTCACATTTGATGTCAAGAGCTATCCTTGTTTAGTCAATCAGGTGCTAATAGCTATTCAGAGTACTGCTAGTGCTTTGTTTGCCTGCTAGAACAGAGGCAAGAGTAAGGCACAAAACTTGAAGTCAGGCTAATTTTATTTTTACAAGCATTTCTGCCCATGCTCATTCAGCATTATGGTGTTGGCTTTCTGGCCTGCTGACCTGCAAAGTCTACTATCATGACACTCATGACCCAGTTTGGCATAGCCCCTGGAGCACAGCTCATTCCTCTGATAAATTCAGCAGAATTGCTGCAGCAGTTGCTTCTTCTGGAGTGTAATAATCATATCATTTGGGGTAAAAAAATTAAACAACTTCCTAGTCCAAAATCATGTCTCTTAGCAGTTTGAATGCAAGCCCCTCAACCTGAAAGGATTATGCATCACCCAAGATATTATTAGACAACCAAAAGTCACTAGTCAGCATTACAGATAAAGCACTATTGCAGAAGGACCAATAAACCAGCTCTGCAGAAATCCCACACAGCCCAAAATCCTAAGCCATAGAAAGATGCTAAGACAAGAGATTTTGTGTAGCACTGTCTCTGTATTAGACTACATGTAGACACCATCAGGCTTTCTCTGACTACTGTCAAACTAACAGTCTGCATTCTGCAGGGGGAGTTATTGCCCAAGCCAGCACACTGCAATAAATATTGTCAAAAGTGGTGCCAAGTCACATTACATAGTTAAACAACAGATGACAAAGCCAGACCCCTAAGTCACTCCTACATTTCTCCACTCAGACGCCAAATAAGTTTCTACAGCCATTTGGCTTGTGCTCAGCAAACTAGTAGTGGGAAGCAATGACTGCTTGCTAATAGACTTCAGGGTGAAACCTGTATTCACAGTGAGCACGTTTCTTCAGCTACATTTATGTTATTATAACATATTCAATTGGAGACCAATTCCAAGCTCAGGAGGCTCCCAATTCACCTCAGAAGCAAATGACAGTCCTAGGACAGTAGCTTGGATAACCAGGTAGCAATCTTCTAGATGTTACTACAGTCAATCCCCAAGTTAGAAGCCTACAAATTGTTTCTATATAAAAGTGCGGAGACTTTCACAAACAGAATGCAAATACTTTGAGTACTAGTCAATACTGTCCATTTAGTTTCAGACACAGCCCTCTAATGTAGCCATTCCGGTATAAAAGTTACCATAAACGCAGGAGGAAATCTAGAGTATTTTAAACACATTTGAATTCTAAGTATTTTCAAGTGTTCTGTTATCTAGACTAGATTAATTTATTCAGGGAGTAGACAAAGTCTTACAAATAGCTAGACTTGCTCCTATAGATTTGTTTCCAGACACAAATCGAACGCAAATAGCATTTGGATTTCTTCAAAGAGCATGTTGACACTCCACAAGATTGTCTCTATGTGTCACTGCAGTTCGGTCCACCTCCAAACAGCAGAAACTCCATAGCTGTAGTTGTTAGTATAGTTTGAAGTAAATTTGATTCGTTTCCTCATCTGCCAACACAACACTCACCAGCAGCACTGCATTGCCCATGTCTCCTGCTCCTAACAGACCAAGAATAAAGCTTCTCTGTTGCCACAGCACCTACTTTGATGTCATCTTTTCAAGTTGCTTATGGCAGCCTTGACAGAACTCTATTTCCATTAAAATAGAGCAAAAGAAAGCACACAGTTCACTTTTGATAGAAGCTTGTGGCTTTGAATCTCAGAAGCTAAATTCAAGCATCTTACTGTCTCCTCATACAAGCTGTAATCTTTGTCAAGAGACTACACCCTTTGACTACATTTACAGTCAGTCAAAGGGAGCTCTGGGGTATTACAGTAAATAGCATTCAGGCTGGATAAAAAAGTATTATGATTTTCTTAACACAAGAGCCTGCTGTCCTTTAGTGCAAGAAACTGGCTTCAGCAGTCCACTGTTATTGCAGAAACCTTGTCAGTGGTTTGTTTCCTTCCAGACTCAACATAAGCAGCTACCTCTCTATTTCCTACAATTACGAAAAGCAAGAAAGAAGGAAAACATGCTCTAAACTTCAGTTTCTAGAAATTTAGTTTCTTGCTGGGTGCCTTACTGAAGGAAAGCTTCTTTCCCACTGCAAAATGTCACACAAGACATTGTTATTTTTCTAAATTTCAGTCCTTTTGCCTAAACCTTCCCTTTTCTCCACTT